ATAAATTATTCCATCTCTCTTCATGGCTTTTGCTAAAACAGTTGAGGGACTCCATGAATCACATATCTAATCTCTTCAGCACTAGAAAAGGTTATCTAGCCACACTTTTGACCTTCTCTCTAGAGCCTGCTTTCTTGACAGTGGATCTCCAGAAGTTTAACATCTTTTGCAATCTCGAGAGTCTGAGAATTTCCCAGATCATCAAGCCTTGGTTCCTCTTTGTTTACCATTTCTTCCCTCATTTTATCTCTTACCTGTCAAAGGTTATTATAGGGTAGAAGAAGAACCCAGCCTATACCTTCAACCCTGTGCTTGAAAATCTTAGCTAAATACCCAAGTTCATTCCTTACAAGTTCTATTTTCCTAAAACTGTAGGACATAATTCAGCTAAGCTTCCTGCCACTGCATAGCAAGGACCCTCTTTCTTCCGAATTCCAATAACATGTTCCTCATTTCCTCTGAACCTTCACCAGCAGCACCTTTAACGTTCACATGTTTACTAATAGTCTATTTATGACAATATAGATCCTCTCTAAGGTGATACAAGCTTTCTCTACTGTGCTTCTCACTTCCTCCTGGCCCTCACAATCTTTCAAACCAATATTTCCAATAACAGTCTGTTTAAGGCAACCTAGGCTTTTTCTATCATGCTTCTCAAAATTCTCCCAGCTCTATTACCCAATTTCAAAACTACTTCCATTTTTTTTTAGAGATGGGGGTCTTGCTTATCCAGGCTGGTCTCAAACTCCCAAGCTCAAGTGAGCCTCCCACCTCAGCCTCCTAAGTACTTGGGATTACAGGTATACTTTTCGAGATATTTTTACAGCAGCACCCCACTTCCAGATTTTTAGGTATTTGTTACAGCAGCACCACATTTCCAGAAGCCAAATATATTAGTTTCCTATGACTGTAACAAATGACCATAAACTGAGTGGCTCAAAACAACACACATATATTCCTTCACAGCTCTGGAGGTCAGAAGTCTGAAATCAGTTTCACTGGGCCAAACCAGGGCTGTGCTCAGGTCGGAGGCTCTAGGGAAAAAAATCTACTTCCTTGCCATTTTCATTTTCTAGACGGGTTTCTTTCTTCTTTTCTTTTCTTTCTTTTTTTTTTTTTTGAGTTGGAGTTTCACTCTTGTTGCCCAAGCTGGAGTGCAATGGCACGATCTTATATCACTGCAATCTACCTCCGCCTCCTGGGTTCAGGCGATTCTCCTGCCTCAGCCTCCTGAGTAGCTGGGATTACAGGCATGCGCCACCATGCCTGGCTAGTTTTTGCATTTTTAGTAGAGATGGAGTTTCACCATGTTAGTCAGCCTGGTCTTGAACTCCTGACCTTGGGTGATCCACCTGCCCTGGCCTCTCAAAGCCCTGGGATTTTACAAATGTGAGCCACTGCACCTGGCTT